TAGAACCTTGGCAAAATCACACCATCGTATTTTACTAAGGCTCCTTCACTTCCACTATTTCTTTTTTCGACCTTCTTTGAAATGTTTTTCCTTCCGTCGAGGGTCTGTCGGATACAACCTCTTTACCTCTCAAGAGGTAGGGATAAGGTCTGCAAACACTCTACCTTCCCACACCACAAGCAAGATTACATTGAGTATGTTGTTGGCAAATCACAAATTGATGCTCTAATATTGGTTTTAAAAATGCTTTTCAAAATTGATTAGCTAATTAAAAAGAGATAATCTCTAAAAGTACTTTTTTCAAACAAAAACTTCAAAAGCATGGCCAAACAGGCTAAAACAATCCTACAAGTGGAGCCTGAGCAGGATAGTGTATATGCACGGCTATAACCCTACATTGACAATAATCGGAATTAAAAGGTACATTCAGAAAGCATACCAAAATCTCAACGCCGGAGAAAGATAAGGTGAAGCCAAGCAGAACTCAAGCAGAGCGTCTTTCCTGCTTCCAATTCCAAACACCTCCACAAACTCCGTCTCTTCCCACACATTCTTCAGACCGCCTGCCTCCCCTGTATCATCATCTTCACGATTCACTTCACAGTTATTACCATCTCTTCTGTTGAAATTTGAGTTCGTTTCCACTCGCACAGGCTTCGTACAACAACTCACTCTAAATCTAACCTTCCTGCATGTAAATGAGTTGGAATTGAAAGGATTCGCCGGAGAAAAAGTACACACGGCGGCGCGTGAAAATGTAGAAAGTCTCGCCGGAATCGGAAGTAGAAGGTCCATAGTAAACAGAGAGCAATTGAAAAAATTGGGGAAGAAGAAGAAGAAGGTGGTGAAAAAATCTAGAAATAAATGCTAGTAAGGCCCTCAAAGTATTAACAAATACGATTTAGTCCCTTAGCTCTCGTCTCGATCTCCCCTCTCTCCCTTTCTCGTCCCCTTCATTTCTATCTCTCGCCGGAAACAAATTTGGCGAGAGATGACGGAAACTTCCCTTCTTCCTTTTGTCTATTCGATTTCGTATTCAAATTCTAAGTATGCTTGAACAAAGGAGACATGTAATATTATATTAACATACACGAGTTACTCCCTTAACCCTCACCTCAATCTCCCTTTCTCGTCCCCTTCCTTTCTATCTCTCTCCCGAAACAAATTTGGCGAGAAATGATGGAAACCTCTCTTCTTCCTTCTATCTATTCGATTTCATATTCAAAATTTTAGTATGCATGAACGAAGGAGAGATGTAATATTATATCAATCATATTCTAAAAAGAGTATATAACATGTGATACAAAATGTATACACTTAATACAAGTGTTTTCGTTCACACTTAATACGTTATATTCGTTGTGCACTTGATATAATTATATTTGTTGATACAATTTACATAAAATGAATACACATAGAATATATACAATGATGCAATTGTATTCATTGATACAAAGTAAATACACAAGGAAGACAAAGACTTGATACAATTTATTTGTTGATACAACATGATATAACTTGATACAATTATATCTGTTAATACAAATTATATACACTTAATACAACGAATACAATATGTATTTATCCCCTCTCTCAATTCTCTCTTTCAAATCTAACTCACTTCTTTCCTTCCCTTCTCAATCTCGATAGTCTCTCTTTTCCTTCAAGTCAATCAATAAGCACATGAGTGAAAAGAATAGAAACAAATAAATAAAATAAATAGGGAAAATGCACAAGTACCCCCTCAATCTATGCACGAAATCTCAGAGATACACTTATACAATACTAAGGTCCTATTACCCCCTGAACTTATTTTATAAGTAATTTTCTACCCCTTTTCGGCCTACGTGGCACTAGCTTGAGAAAAAATCAACCAGCGTTGGGCCCACTAGATAGTGCCACGTAGGACGAAAAGGGATAGAAAATTATTAATTAAATAAGTTCAGGAAGGTAATAGGACATTAGTATAGTATAAGTGTGTTACTGAGATTTCGGTTATAGGTTGAGGGATACTTGTGCATTAACCCAAATAAATATACTAATAACTAGTCACTAGTATAATGGTCATTGATCCCAAATATTGCATGGAGAATATTCGGCAAAGGAAAATAAATGTTTTTTTTATAGAACTTTTTTTTAGAAAGATAACTATATAAGTGAACTTGTTACGTATTTTTCTTAGCATGATCAATAAAAAAATAACAATTTAAAATTATTTATATATAATTTAGATAACTACTATAAAAGTACAAAGGCGAAGATCGATGATGATAGGGATTGTGATTATTTAGCTTGAATAGAACTGAATATGTGTCGGAGGTCCTACACATTTATCGTAGAAATAGAACGGGAGGAACCACTACTTTTTACGAATGTGAGAGTGAAGGTGAGGAGTATTGAAGAGTGAAAATACAGTTAATCCGGAATGTTATTTGTATAACTTATTTTTCTTCTTTTTGTTAGAAAAATCATTTTTAAGAAAAAAAATTCAATTTTTTATAATGATCAAACATTAAAAAAGTTTGAAAAATATTTTTCACCATACCAAACACAACCTAAACTTTATAACAAATATTCCTCGAATATCATAACGTGAAACATAATGTATCTCAAGCATATATTTGTTGTCTATGTTGTGTGTAGTTATGTCCAAATATTCCATGAAAATTACCTAGCTTAGCTAATAGTAATTTATACTATATTATAATTTTCAATTACTTTTTTTTTTTAATTCGGTGTTTGTTGTTCACTTTGTAATTTCGATGGCAAGAGAATTAATATAATTTAATAAATAAAAATATATATTTTGATTTCTAACAAATTAATCTTTTAGATTAAATAATTATACGTTTCTCCAATAGCAACCGATCTGAATTTATCATGTATAAAGCAAGCCTATTAAAGAAAAAGATGCTTCCTATTAAAATTTATTCATTTAAGAGACTAAAAACGAAGAAATTCTATTCATCCCGCCATAAATTCCGATAATAATTTAATTATCTATACATGAGGGTGATTGGAAGCCCTACACAAATAGAAGGTCCACTTGACATATATCAAATGTAGTTTTCATTATATATTATATATATATAAAACGTGTTAAGTATTAGGTCCACTTGATGTATATATCATATACTATAATATTATTATTATTATTATTATTATTATTATTATTATTATATGTGTTTATATGGCTTTTTGGATGAGCCATGCAGCTACTTGCATTTGGTTGGATGTAATCTACCAAATATTTGTGGATCTGCCAGGTTGTTTACAATGATAAATCATATTAAATATTATAAATTTTTCTTCAATATTTATATTATATCATTGTGATTTGTGAATAATGCATAAGCTTACAAAGTGTCTTCGATTTAATTAGGTATAATATATAAATACATTTTTTACTCTTGTTTAAAATGATATTTATATCTTTAATTTTGAGTGTGTATGAATAATTAAATAAATAGACACACGTGTCGTATAAGACATGATTAGGACACAAATTATCGTGTAAGACATCATACGTAGACTGAGTGTGTCTATTTGTTATTGAATTCACGAATTTAGAGAAGAACAACTTGTAGTCTTTCTTTATTGTATGGTAACGTTACGTATTGTTTTAATAATGTATTGTATTTTAAAAAAAATAAATATAATGTTTAATTAGATTATCATCGATAATTTGAAGAATAAATCTATATTTATATAAAAAAATAAAGTTTATGGTAGAGCTACTATAAAAAAAAAAAAGGTAAATGAGAACATAGAATTGTTAAATAATTAAGTAAAGAAAAAAATTAAGATAATAACACGATCACACCAAGTCGATCGCTACACAAATGATACTTTTCATTATTACCGAACGATGAGTTAACAATACGATATAATAAAATTTAAATAAATATTATATTTAAACTAACTAAACAACGTGTTTGGAAGGAAAGAGTCGAATATCAAAGGACACTCAAAATATCATGTTTATATATTACTCAGATTTGCGATATTTGTGATAGAAATTGTTACTTAAATTATATGTCTCTCTTGTTTAAAATGATAGTTATATATTTAATTTTGAGTGTATATAAATAATAAAATAAGTAGACACACGTGTCGTATAAGACATGATTAGGACACAAATTATCGTATAAGACATCATACGTAGATTGAGTGTGTCTGTTTGTTATTGAATTCACGAATTTAGAGAGGAACAACTTGTAGTCTTTCTTTATTGTATGGTAACGTTACGTATTGTTTTGATAATGTATTGTATTATATTTTTTAAATAAATATAATGTTTAATTAGATTATCATCGATAATTTGAAGAATAAATCTATATTAAAAAAAAGGTTTATGGTAGAGCTAATATAAAAAAAAAAGGGTAAATGAGAACATAGAATTGTTAAATAATTAAGTAAAGACAAAAATGAAAGGAAAAAATTAAGGTAATAATACAATCACACCAAGTCGATCGCTACACAAATGATACTTTTCATTACTACCTAACAATGAGTTAATAATACGATATAATAAAATTTAAATAACAAATCAAAATAAATATTATATTTAAACTAACTAAACAAAATGTTGGAAGGAAAAAGTCGAATATCAAAAGACACTCAAAATATCATGCTTATATATTAATCATATTTGCGATATTTGTGATAGAAATTATTACTTTAAATTATGTGTCTCTCTTTTATATGTTTAAGAGATAAATATGATTGATTAATTAGGATATTAAGTTCATGAGAATTGAATTATGTTTTTTTTCTTAATTAACATTTAATTCGTGAAAATTGAATTATGTTTCTCTCTAAATTATGTCTCCACTAGAAACATAATTAATTTCGATAAATTTCTCTATAGTAATTTTCTAGAGAATTTCATTGCGTTAACAGATACACAAATCTTTGTTCATACTTAACTTTCTACTAAATAATTACACAGTTAAACATGTAAAACCTATAATTAAAGAACTATTTATATAAATCTATCATCAGATAAACAAAGTTTAAAGTTCTAATAATTTTGTGCAGTTAATACTTGTATCTTGGCCTATCCAACCAAAATAAAAAAACAAAAAAGAAATTCAACAACTAAAGAAAATATTTAAAAACTCCCAAAGTTTTGTTTGTCTTTTTTTTCTTTTTTTTTTTTCTAATTAAGGTTTATCTCTAGAAATAAAAGTATTTCTAATTTCCAGCAAAAATCTTCTAGAGAACTTCTTCATTAATCTACAGCTAAAAACCTTTTCATGGATCCCTGCAAAAATATCCATAAAATTTCATTAACAAAATAATAATAATAATAATAATAATTAACAATGTGTTAAATCTACAAGCAATAGAGGATTATTGGTGTGTTTCCGTTCAGAGGAAAATGTTTTTCAAGAAAATAAGATGTTTTTTATTTAATACTTAACAAAAAATACTATTTAAAAATTATTTATATAAAATATAAACAAATACGATGAGAGGTGGAAGTGGAATGCTAGGGGTATAGGTTGGTGAAAAAGAGAATATGAGGTGTTTTGAAAAATACAGATGATACAATATGATGCGTTCAACTCGTTTAAATTTGAATAGGCTAATAATTAGTAAATACAAAAACTCAAACAATTTGTTCTTGTCAAATTCATCATATTCAAAACTTGAGTCGATACAAAATTAAAAAAAGAATGTTGGTAAGAGTTCGACGTATTGGGGTATTACTTCTTATTTAGTCCATTTTAACCTAAATCATCTTAACTCTAGTAACTCGTAGGGGTCGCTGACTCATCTATTTATCAACTTATCAACTTTTTTGAATTTGCTTAAATTCAGTTCAACCATCCATTATTCGACACTCATGTATAAATCAAATTAAATTATTCAGAACAAATAAATAAGCAAATAATAATAATAAATTTATTATAATCTGACAAATAAAATCTTAAAAAGATGATTTCCGTCTCTCCCCTCTCTGTTCCCTCTCTCTCTGCCCCATTTCTCTCCCGTCTTTCTACTCTCTGCCCCATCTCTCTCCCCTCTCTGCCCTCTCTCTATCCCGTCTTTCTCCTCTCTCTGCCCTCTCTCTCTCTCTCCCATCTTTCTACCCTCTGCCCCATCTCTCTCCCGTCTTTCTCCTTCCTGTTCCAGTATCACTCACCTCTCTCCAATCCCTCTCGCCTCTCTTTTCTTCTAACATGTAGCTAAGAATCATAATTATACCGATAAAAAAACTATTTCATATATTATATATTACTATTAGAGTATCCAATAAGGCAGCACCCCGTGACTTAGTACATGCATTCACATGAAGAAAAACAGCACAATAGGGGGCAATTGGAGAGGGACAAGACATGTAAACAACAAAGGAATATAATTATCTATACATGTACATGTGACCTTCACTCCCCACATATTCTGAAATCTGTTTTTTTGTTTTTTCGCTCCGTGTTAGATATCTATTATTTGATATCGATCTCACTAATTCAGATTCACATCGAAAGTCCTATTCTAGAATAAAAGATAAAACATTTCCTACCAAAAACTATTCGATATCCAAATACTCAATCTAAAACATACTTATCATTTCACCAGAATCTTTAACAATATAACAGTGTGTATATATATATATATATATTACTTTTTTTTAATAAAAAATATTAGATAAATTGATTATTTAATAGAGTAGTTATAAAGTACTTTTGAAAATGGTGTGCTGTGAAGTATAATCTACAGAATTAGACAAAAGAAAAACTATTCAACCAAAAAAAAACAATAAATTGCAGCCAAAAGGAAAGTAACAGACATACAGATTGACACTCAGACAGGCATATTTATACCAAAGGAAAGAACTAGTATTCAAAAAAATCACATATATGATAGGTTTAAAATCATAAAATTTTAAAATTATTTTTGATACTGTATACATATTGAGTCTTTTTATAAAAAGGAGTTTTGAGGCAATGATAAAATTATCTGTTCATGTCTTATATGTCACAAGGTTCGAGTCGTATAAGTAATCAGTAGTATTATTTGCATTATGGTAGACTGACTAGACATCACATCTTTTGAGATCTACGACTAATTACCCTTTTTTTTCACATGTTATAACTTTTAATTTAAACTTATAATTTTAATTTTAAAACCTTTTTTATATATATCTTCAAACTATGTACGTAATCAATCAAATTAAAACACACTAAATGAAACGAATACACACTAATATGTTAACCATGCTTAAGGACGAAAATATCTCATATATCTCTCCATATCAAAAATCTAAAATCACATGATTCAAAAGATGATTCTTAATATTTTAAAATATCTCACGGTCAGTCAAATTAAAACACATTAAGATGAAACACATAAAAGTAACAATGTCTCAACTATGCTTAAACATGAAAATATCTCATCCATCCCACTACATATAAAAAACATCTCAATTCACAAATCTTTATACGTAAAAGTTCTGCAAGTAATCAGTCAAATTCAGACACGTAAAATGAAACAGAATGAAAATATCTCATTCATCCTATCACATATAAAAACATTTAAATTCATAATTTTTTATATGTAAAAGTTTCACAAGTAATCAATCAAATTAAAACACGTAAAATGAAATAGAAAAAATAATATTATTTTAATATTACCTGTACTTTTTGGTGGATGTATGTCTTCTATTTACTCATTGAAAAGTGCCACCTCCAAAAGGTTGTTGTTGATGATGACTTTGATTTTTTCTACTCTCAAAATTATTATTATTATCCAATGAACTCATTTGTTGTTGGCTGCTACTAAATCCTCCACCACCACCACTCATAGTTCTCACAATTTCTCCAACTCCAAGAAAATCTCTTGTCAACCTATTAGCTTCTTCACTCATCCCAATGTCCATTGAGAAGGGTTTACTAATCATTTGCTTCTTTTGTGGTGGTGGTTGATCATAACTATTCATCTTCTTGTTGTTGTTGGTATTGTATCCTCCTACCACTCCTCCATAGTCTTGATTCTGGTCTTGTTGACCTGTAACGTATGTTGAAAACATAATTAAGTATTAAATAAATGAGATATTTAGTATATATTAAGAGTATTTTTACGAATTTATACGTACTTGAATCATATAAAAAACATGAACAAATTTTCAATAGTAATAACAAGGTCTAGCCATTTTCAACCGCTATGATTTTTTTAAAAAAAATGGTCAATGTCATCGAATTTGAAATTTCATTGTTAGAAATGAAATTTCAAAATCTATGACGACGATAATGATTATTTTTTTAATTTCAGGAGTTGAAAAGTGTCTATTTGTAATTTTATCAAATGTTTCATGTTTTTGGGTTGTAGAAAAAGAATTAGACTAACGCGTAAGAAGGTTGTAATGAAGATATTATTAAATAAATAAAAATATTTTAATATTTCGACGAGATAATCATATATTTCAAGCATTAGTACTCACCGTAAGCATTAACAACTAGGTCATGAAGATGATTTCCAGCTCCCATAGGGTCCTCATGGCCGAAAACGCCGCCAAAATTGACAGCTGGCGGTGGATGAAGATCAGATTTTGTCATGCTAGACGATGAACCACCAACATCAGCACCAACACCAGCAACAGAGCCAAATGCTTTAAGCAATGAAGCACTAGTACTACTATTGTTGCAACTAGTAGTAGAACCCATCTGAGCCGCTTTTTGGAGGAGAGCGGTGGCTGACATAGGTGGGGCCGGTGATGATGAGACATAAAGAGAAGGAATCGATGAACTCATATGATGATGATGATGGTGATGATGATCGTTCAGAATGGTGCCACTTGAGAAAATGTTCGATGAATTATTTGAACCTTCACCGCTAGTGTTGTTGCTAAATTGATGAGGACTAGGAAGTAATAATCCACCAAGACCTCCAGAAATAGTGTTATTATGATCATTATCAACGATGTTGTTGTTGTTGTTGTTGTTCTGGAAGAAATTCAGGTTAAACATGCTAGAAGAACCAGTAGCAACACTCGCGTTGTTGTTGTGGAGATTGGGAAGTTGCATTAGTCCATGGATTGATGATTTGTTATTATTGATCACCCCGTAATCTTGATGACTTGTTTGATCAGCTGGAAGTTGGAAAAAGGAAGTTGAAGGACGAAAAGTTGACGAGCCAATGAGGTTGTTGTTGTTATTGTTATCAAACTGGTTCTGATGATGGTGGTGGTGGGCCCCGTTGTTGTTGTTGTTGTTGTTATTGCTACCTCCGAAATGAAGCATTTCATGATGATCTGAAATTTGGGAATTTAATTTCGAGAGGCCGCCTAAACTTATATTATTGTTGTTGCTACTTCCATATAAATGACTCCCAATGCCACTCAAACTTGGTGGATTTCTTGCACTTTCTTGTGCCAATGCATCACAAAAGGCTCTATGAGTGATGAAACTGTCACGCCTGCATATTTAAGTTATATATACTGTCAGTATATCGTATTATATATATATATATATATATATATATATATTACGA